ATATATATATATATATATATATATAATATATATATATATATATATATATATATATATATATATGATATATATATATATATATATATATATATATATATATATGTATAGGAAAAATATGTATGTATGAAAAGTTATTTTTTGAAACAGCTTACCTTTCTTTTTGACTTCGTATGTGATCGCTTGGACGACTTTTTTGAGGCATTAGCTGCTTCTGACGAATTCTCAGTACCATTTTCCGTAGCAAGATTCTTCCTACCACCACGTTTTCTAGTGCTACCACGACTGGACCCTTTCCCATTATCCGCAACAACCTTTGGCGAGCGCAAGACAGGTCTCTGCGTGCCTTGCTCACTACGCTTACCCGTCCTTCCTCTGCTCTGTATAGCTAAAGCGTCGCTATCGTTATTGTCTAGCCTATCATCCTGATTTCGCACACCTGCTTTGGAATCGGCTGATGCCTTCTTACCCGGACTGCCGCTGCTGCTGGTTTTTTCTCCGCGTCCGCCTCCTCCACGCTTTCTGCGTACCTTGTTCTTTTCTGGGAGCCCATTGGTTTCTGTTGTTGGTGCGAGTCTTCCAGTAGAACCTGAGGTAGACCTGTTGGTACCTATACTCTCCCCGCCCATGCTTGTGAGGCGTATCGTCCTCTTGCAGCTTTCTCTGGGAAAGATCACGCGGTGATGGCTTTATATTTACCAAATATTTGTTGAAAAAATGCACTTTTCTATATTGATGTTTATATAAAAGTATTAAAAATCTCTTGGAATTTAATCAATTCAAATACCCAGGCTCCACACTGTCCACAGGGGTTGTGATTTGTTGACGGGGAGTCGGTAAGCCGAGTCACGCGAGAGTACTTCAATATGTATCCAAATACGATCGTTACCACAAAACAACTACTAATAGCCTGTGTGTGGTACATAATAGAAAATGTAGGGAACAAAATTGTTAGTAATACAGTGCGGCAGCTCGGGTGTCCAAACGTGAACGCAGAGCGCCAACTCCGACGGTAAATTGTACACTAGTCCTCGGCCAAAGATTGATCATTCAAAAAACATACTAATTAAATGAAGTTTATTCTTGCTGACTCCTTTCCTTGCTTTGTACTTTCATATAGAGGAATCTTGTACGCTCCGATTCCATATCTACACTTAAAGCGTATCTTCAAAATGAATAGTTATATACGTCTGTTTGAAACTTCACACGTGGTTCCAGAGTGGCAGAAAGGTCGGCAATGGTCGAGTTACATATTACACTTATTTTTTTGGAGGTTTTAAAATTCATCCAATGGTCATGAATGAACACCGTCGATACATGTATGATATGCCAGCGCGAACTAATGGCCAGTAGTGTACTGTGCTTGTATGCAGGACAGCTGACACAACCGGTCAAAACAAGATATTTGTACGTATCCACAAGACTCTACTCAAAACAATCATAGCCTCCTGTGTTATTATTTCAGAGGCCAAATAATAACAAGAAGGCAATGAACAATCATAGCCTCCTATTTTAAATATGTAATTATTGTTCTTAGGTCTCTAGGTGTTGATTATTCAGAATCAGAAGGCTATGGAATAACGTGCAATGAAAAACCCTATACGACTATTTGCCGCGTGAAACCTAACAAACAGATATTAAGAAATATTAAATACCTAAAATATATGAGAATGTTCGATTTGCTCACCAGGTAGTATTGTCGGGTGTCTGCTGCAGAGAACATCCTACCTCGGTGTGCATGAAATTGCGATGAAGTCGCCGGATGTGCAATGGGTTGATATAAATGAGTTCGAGGTACAAAGGGTAAGGCAGGAGAAACTGCACCGTCTTCGTAGCTGTTGGGAGCTACCATGCGTTGTATTGTTCTTCTCTTTTTGGAAATCGTCTTTGAACGTATTGGCAGCGTTTGAGACTAATTGCAAATCTATCGAAGAAGCCCTGCTGGATGAGAATGATTTATTATTAGCGGAAATGCACGTGAAACTACTCAGATCTATTCTAAAACGGAATGATATAACATATAATAGCAGTATAGGTGGAGTGCCAACGGCACGCGTCTGGTACGACGTCTTACTCGGCATTGTGAAGGAATACGGCGACAATAGTCCCTTGCTGGAGGTGATGGAGGAAGCGTTCACGATAACTGACGGTACTAATTCGGATAGGGACGCTACTAAGAATGCTTATGACAACCTTGCGATAGAGTTGCGTGTGCAACTGCTTTACATGCTGTGCAACGTGAGCTTGGGGGCGAGTGATGTATTCGCAGAATATGTGGCCGAAAAGGAAACGGATGCCGATGCGCTTAGACTTCAAGTTGTGGGCGTTGACTCTGAGCGCAGTACATACTACTATATGAATGACAGTAGGTTATACATGGAGTATTCCTACGTCGAGCGCAAAATAAAGAAGTCTGTTGCTAAACCAAGAGGCAGGCCGAAGAACAAAGAGCGTGTGGTGTTTCAGCCGAGATTAACCGAGCGGCAGATGGCAAAGCAACAAAAAATGGAAGAAAGCTTAAAGACCAAGGCACCTCCCAGCGGCCGAGGTACTAAGCGGAAGGCGCAACAGCCCGTGAAAAGCACATCGAAGATACAAGTAGAAGAAGATGTCGACATAGAACCCAAGGAAAACTTGCCTGAATTCCCATATTTCATAAAGAGGAAACAGTACTGTGTATGTAGTCTGTTGATTGTGTGCAATTGACCTTATGGTTTTGTGAAATTGTAGCTTATGCTTTGGTGGTATTTTGTAAAGACTGGGCTTGGAGCGCTGGTGAGTATTGTGGAGAATTTTAGTATTTGGACTCTCCCATTCGAATTTATCAACGACATGCGTCGATGTTACTATGCTGCTTGTTTTCGTATTTGGATTCCTATACACATCACTAATATTGCATCTGTCCTCAAACCTGTGCCACAGTGGCGTGCGGTGTGTGTGACCTCGAAAGAATGGAAGAATTTGATCGCTCGGCTGTCAAAGAGTCGACACAAAGTGGAAAGAGAACTAGCGGAAACTATCAAAACTTTAGCTGAAACGGTGGTCCCTTCGCTGGAGGTATTGAGTGTGGTGCATGTTGTATATCGCAAAGATCAGGTTTTCTTTAATTCAAATTTCATGCATGTCCTTGTTTGCTTCCGGAGGCTATGATCTGTGTCTTACGCATATCTCGCTATTGATGCTAACTGATATATATCTTCAATTATAACCGCTACTAGCGTGCCGAGCTCGCGGCAGAAAAAGCGCGCACACTAGATGCTTTGCCTCGACGTTCGTCATCAAGAGTGAAAACAAATGAGCAAATGTCAGAGCGGGACAAAAGGTACGTCTCGGTGATGTGTTTTTTTTTCTCCTGAGCTGTCTTACTCGTGCTAGTTATGTTTATGATCAGTTAGTTTACAGTACATTGCTTTCATCCGCTGGTTTAGGCGGATGCAGCTGTTATTCTTTCATTGCTGAGCCTCCAAATACACAGTAGAATACTTGATCGTTTCAGTGCACTCACCTTGTGCAGTTAGCTGAGCACCTTGTTCACAAATGATCAATACGCAGTACCTATAGCACCTATTTGTGCCCTCCCATTTACATACAGGATACATTTCTTAAAGCGTGAAGAGGAGCGTCTGAGGACAATAGCCGAGAAAGAGAAAGAAGAAATTAAGAAAGCCAAGCGGCAAGCGGCCGAAGCGGAGCGCGAACGCGAGCTAGCAGCACGTGAAGCCAAAAATGAGGAAGCACAGAGGCGGCGTGTGGCACAAAAGGTAGGTTTTGTCATGGATTCGGCGTGCTATGGCTGCTTATCTGTATGTATGTCAGCCAATATCTTGATCCGTTGTACGTGTTGTTCTGGTGCTGTATATCAAAGAATGCATGATTGTCTACCTTGCATGTCTATTTCTTGTATCCGACTATCACGCACTTCACTCATCTGTCCTGTCTATTATTCCATTCATAGGAGAAGCAGCGACGAGCGAAAGAACGGGAAATCAGACTGAAAGACCGAGAGGCCACGCTCGAGCAAGAAAGATTAGAAGAGGAGGCTATAGCAGCAGAGCGAGAGGAACGATTGCTGTTGAGGACGATGCCAGAGGAGGAAAGAATTCAGTACCTCGCATCTAAAGAGGGTATGGCATTGTGTATCGCTAACCGTCTTTTGTTTAGATAGAATTTATATGCGACATTTGTCTCACATATGTATGGTGTTCCACCCACTCGCGTATAGAACGGACGAGGAAAGCTTCTAGCATTCCATCTTATCCATCCTCGAAGAAATTACGAGTGCAAGGAGAAACAGCGACATCGCGGACATCGAGAACTTCAAAGGTAAAGCCCACACCCCTTCCCACCGAGAATGATCGGGAGAGCGAAAAGGCTTCCCGCCGCATTCTCGTATTCAGTTCTGCATTCGCCAACGAAGCCGCGAGTGCAGTGGTGAAGAAAGAATATAAGGATGTCGGAGATTACCACAAGTTTTACCAGGTAAAGCGTATTGTTTGTTGCTGTCTTAGTAAACCCGTGATAGTACCCCCATTCATCGACGCTTGACGTGTCGTGCGATATTGTTAAATGTTATTCATTTCCCAAACAACATTATCTACATTCTCGTAGGCTGCATGCCGGAATGGAAAGGCGAAGATCGTACTAGATGCTGGTGGTGCTTGCTAACGTGTGCTGTTCCATTGCGACATAGTATGGCGCATCGAGATCGTGCATACTTGACCAAAAGTATTGAGTGTGCGAAGAACTTTTGACATTGACAATGGCCGCCGGAGAGTCAATTACCCGCATTGAAGACAAATAGCACGCAACTATAACATCAATCTAGTAGTATGAACACAGCACTAAACAGCTATTTGAGTCAACGTTGAGGGCACGCCGACATCCTTGAAGACTGTACTTAAAGTTGATGGAGATGGACGTGCCTAATTTCAACAACAGGTTGTGTACAACGTCTTGCATTGCATGTAGCTCTGATCAAGGCTTTGGTATCGATTACATACACGAATCTTGAATAAGTGTCGTTGGGTTCGATGATGCCCGCTGAAGTGGCACTTGGAGCATTACTGGGCTGCAATTTTTTTTCCCTGATGAATGCGTACCCGCGGACGTCGCACGATATATAAATTGCTGGCATCTGAAAAGAGGTTCATGGCGAACAATCAGGAGGGTCCTGGCGACGCGATCGGTTATCTTCGGTTGATTGCATGTTTTATCACTTACTTGCGCGTGATGAGTTCTTAGGCGCCAACAAGTTAGTTGACTGGCCAGGCCCAAGGGAGTGCAGAAAAACCCTCCGTAGTCTAAGTATTTGTGTATTGTAAAACTCTCGTGAAATATATGCAGGTTGACCTTTCGAAAATGTGTCAATTCGGCCAAGCTTTCTTCTATATTACATGAGCAAAACCATATACAGTTTTCACTGATAACAATTTTGCACGGCGTAGCTACATAGTATTGAATAAAGGCTAATCCAATGTATTATATTGAAATTCGCCGCAATTTTACCACATCATTTCCAGCGTTTACAATAGTACCGTGCGTATTCTATAACCCAAATACAATTGATGTGATTTATTGGTTTAATGTTGGTGGGCTCATCGTGCAGCTCAAATGTACACAAATATTGAACGCCCATTGTACATTTTGCAGGTGGCCGATTGATAGCTGAAATCTAAGTTGCCGTTCTCCATATTCTAAAATTTTGTGAGGTGTTTCACATAAGCTTTTTCTTTTTGGCCCAAAAAATGGATACAGTAGAAAGCAAGCACATAGCAAGTACGATACAGAAGAACGGTACCAAACTGTCCGCTTCCTGAAAGGGTACCAATACGTTCATACCGAAGGAGCCAGCAATCTGTATTGTAAAAAACCATTGTATTATGATCAACCCATGTTGTGTTATATTATTAAATCGAAGGCAAAATTGGAATTCAGATTTATAAAGGTGACAACACATACCAAATTTAGCGGCAAGAAGAGAGTTGACACAACTGTTAAACTGTTCAGAGCAGTCCCGCTTGCTGCCGTTGCTTCGGCCAACTCAACATTGAGCTTAAGGTTGCAAACGGGTGCAGAAAGGGTGAAGGAAAACGAAGAAAACATTAGATAAGGCTATAGTCAGCTTAAATAGAAAACACTTTCGAAATAGCCACCTTAAGTTATCTTGACATACCTGTGCTAAGTAGTTAGAATGAGTAGCATTGATAGTTTCCCTGCTCCCTTCTATTTTCCCCATCATCTCGTGTATCAGATCTAAAATATCCCGAAAATACAAGAATGTGTCCTTCTTGACATGGGGGGGTGGACTCCGGCCGTGGCCGGTAAGATACAAGAGGATATCTCTCTTTGGCTTCAGTATGCGAATAAGTCGGCTGGTCCTCCTCCGAATATGAGTTATACGTCTAAGGATGTCAGCCGCGTCTCTCTGCCCTAAGTAGAAGATCATCTCATCTATGGCATCCACCTCCACCTCAGCTGCCCTTGTGATCGGCTCGAGCTCGTCCGCAATGTTATCAATCTAGGAGCAACCACGAGTGGTAAAAAGTGGAATTAGCCGATCGCATAGATGACCAAAACAACTCGAGTTATAAAATATTCAATTTGAGTATTTGAAATCCTGTCAGTTCTCGGAAACAGGCTGTGTGCAGCTCAAGCAAAAATACCCTTACATGTTATCTAGAACTATGAAATTTACCACATATTCACAGATTCCCTGGTTGTCAGCTCACTTAGATTCGGTGCACGCTACATATCTTACAATAAGCATCAGCGTCCAATCTGCTCTCAGTGGAGTATCTTTCTGTAGGAGGCCGATCACTGCGTTCACCACATGCGCTGGTCGAGCGTGGAAGGTTATAGCAAAAGTATCGAACACAGCTATGTTCATGTTTACAGCGGCTTGTTCGTCTTCCCCTTGCGTAGAAGAGAAGGTCTGCAATTGGAGTTACAAAAGTGAGCGATACATAATTAGCGTGAAATCAACATTTTAAGTCTCGTTTAGGCCCGTTACCAATTTTTATATACTCTCATCCGTGTACAATTTAAAAGAAATCGACGCAGTCTAGCACATGATGGGTGATACAAATACGAACAAACCTGCATTATGGTGAACAAATACGAATCATACACTTCCACTTTCTCGCGTGTGTATTCGGTGAGAATATCTTCGCTTGTCAGTGGATGGATACCGAAGACCTATGCAATAAAAATTGAAAAAAGGGTCAGTGTAAGATATATATTTGCGGAAGAAGTGAATACCTACAACAGCAGACCAGTAAATTCAATTTTTTTTCTTGCTTGCCTGTTCAATCAAAGTCATGTCAGCTTGAGACGGTGCACAGACATCAATCCAAAAGAAGCCGGTGTCCAACATGGCCTCGAAGTTGACTTGGATAAACCCTTGCTTGCCGCTAAAATGACGACATTTTCGTTCCGAGTCAAGTACAGTGAAGGTCTGCAAGCAACGAGAGTTGACAAGTTAATACTTTTGATACAGAGTAACCTAATGACGGCTCACTACACAATCATGTTCTAGGTCGAACGAGAAAACGTTTAAATACCGTTAATGGCCACCGTAGAATACAACTCAGTGCGTACCGCTTGGAAGTCAATTGATGAATCCGCCACACCCTTTTGAGCATTGAGCAGCGCCTCCAACAACTGTTTGTTTTCTTTAGCTCCGCGGTGTACCGATCGCAGGGCCCAGTTGGCGTCCACAGTGTCGATTAGCATGGTACCCTCGCTGGCCGAGTCTAGTAGCATACTTGCACTCGGAGACATGGTTCTGGGCCCTCGTGGGGTTTGTGCCGGGGGAGGGTTGGTACGGTACATTTGGGAATTGGCATGATTCATCCTGGCAAAGAGGGTTATGCATACATCGAATGATGAGTTGTGGCGAGAATGATCGGGAGGGTGCGTGGGACGCTTGTAAAAGAAATGAAGGACTCGATTTGATATTGCCATACCTCCTCTGTCCTGAGTTTATATGCAATCCCGCCGCCAGATTAGAACCAACCGAGCTTGCATGAGGGACTGTGGCACCAGCTCTGTATACGGGCAGGGACTGCAGTACAAGTACAAAACAACTTTGGTTTAGCTACACAACGATCCATTATTCGCAAAACAAGAGCCGGTAATATCAACAAAATGGTTGGTATCACGTATCAACCGATCCAGTGGAGCATTTTAGCAGAAACAACCGCAAGACGTACTAGCAAAGTATTTCTATGATTCTAGCATCTCCTCTGCCTATATTTTAATGGTTCGACTAGATATAATCGGGGAAGTTTCATATAAGGAAACTTAAACCAGCGACTGTGGTCGACGGTTACGTAAAATTAAAAAAACATTCAGCAAATAATCACTCAGAACCACTGCCAACCAGCAAAGACATACTGCCTCGTTGTGTACTACACACTCACACAGACACCTATGAAGTAGTACCTCATTCGTGGCTGGGGTTGATATCACTGGAGTCGGGCTGCTATTCGCCGGTGAAGTTACTGTGGGCACTGGTACCTCTTGAGGTTGGCCATCTGCATGACTGGTCACAAAGACCAGCCCATCATCAGAATCATCCAGTCCCTTCTTCTCATCACCCTCCAAATCAGATACACGAAACCTACCCTTCATCTAGAGATAACTAGTCTTTCCATCTCTTAAGAACTGTGGTGATAAATGTACTACAATTAACGCATATGTTGTCTGAGAATCGGCATGCAAGCTGTACAACCCTTTATGATATGATTATTGTAAAAGACGATGGCGAAGGCGGCTAGGCAAAAAAGCTTAGAACCCAAAAAAAAATTCAGAACACTCGCTTTACCCACTTACTGTCCCCCACTGGCCCACACATCCCTTGCTCGGCTTCGTATATTAAATTTGTCCAAATACTTATCTTCAGTCATGAGGAGCTTCGTTCGCCTCGTTCGCCTCTAAATACTGGCGATACTGCTAAATACTTAACCATTCTGTTTGTGTTAACGTTATAGAATGGAGCGAATGAATATTTAGAGTCGATTCTCAGGCCGATTCTCAATACGAGACATAATACTTAATTTCTGATATTGCCGGCGATTTGTTACTTTTCTTTCGCTGAACGTATGACGTGATTTACCGTTGTTGGTTTACTAGTAATTAAAACTAGACCAAACACAGGACTAAAGTACAATTTATTTTTTGATCATACACTTCCTAAAGATTTCTAATTTAGAAGCGCTCATCGAATACACGCTCACCGTTCTCCGTATTCATAAGGGTAACGTGAACAGAGGAATCCTCTCGTACATAAAGTGTTAGCTGAAGAGCCTTATCAGCAACATCTCGTGCGGCAATTTCTGCAACAAGCGTACACCCGGTGCACTTCTTCTCGTTCTGGGCACCTTCGAATAATCTAAGTAAGAAATCGTTTTGATCCTTAGGCATGCTGAAGGTCAAGTGTTTGCGCGTGGGTAGTGCAGTATTCGCGCCCAACAGGGTCTTGAAATTTCCGTAGGAGTCCTCAAACCCGATACTGTGAGCCAACACGTGTGTTTGGTCGTATTCGCTGTTGCTTTCGGAGTGCGAGTGACCAAATAGTAGTGAGGCCTGTTGGGCAGCACCCATGGCCACTGCTTGATCCGTAGGGTATTGGTAGTCTATGTGTGCATCGACGTCCTGGAAGTACTCGTGCATTAGTGTTTGTAGCTTTGGGACCTTTGCGGCACCGCCAGTCATAATTACGTAGTCAATATCGTCCATTGAGAATTCAGACTTCTTGATTGCAGCAGCGATAGGCTCGAAGGCTTTCTGGAAAATGGGTTCACAAAGGGTCTCGAAGCGCTCGCGATCCATACTGGCGTGAAGATCCATTCCTGATAAATTTAGTTTGGAATGAAATAAGTCGGGCATGTCGTACTAGAAGTTCAAATCAAACAAAAGTGAAGGTGACCATATAACTATTTGCATATCAGTCGGCAAATAGTTATATTTGTCACTAAGAATATATATTATACTCCGCGCAACGATGGTTTTAGCCGTCGAATGACAACAAGCAAGGATATGACAAGTTACGGCCTTCCGCCTGTACCGTTATTATAGACAATGACTCAGTACTTGCACTCTCGTGATTCAAGCACCAGTTTGCAGCAACACCACAGAATCAATCTATTCCCTACCTTACTCAGGCGATCCTACGAAAAAAATTAACACATTATAAAAATTGGAAAGCAGTGCATGTCCTCTAGAAATTAAGTCCAAATAATATACTCAGAATTCCCATACCTTCCATAAGCGAGTCGATAGCTGCCATAGTAGAGTTAGCGGTAGTAAGCACGTTGGTGATGCGCTCACATTCCAGCCTGAGCTTAGCGATTGCGCGAGGGCTCGTGCGAATATCTAACTTGCTTTTTTTCATGAATTCCATAGCGAAATACTGCATAAGTCGCGTGTCAAACGAGATTCCTCCGAAATCAGCAACTGTCTCAGTGGCTACTATCTGATACAGACCATCTCGTACTAATAGCACATTTACGGTCAAGTGTGTAGCTCCGAGATCGTACACCAGGACGTGGATGTCACGCTTGCGATCTCCATCTTTCTGGCCGATACCGTATTGCAAGCATGTGGCGGTGGGCTCGTTGATGAATCGTAACACGGATAATTTGGCATCAAAAGCAGCCTGCTTCAGGGCCGCTTTCTGCTCTTGAGTGAAAGTAGCGGGAACTGAGATAACACACTCGAACACGGAGTCACCTGCGAAGTGCTCAGCAGTCTCTTTAACCTTCTCCAGAAGCATGGTGGTCAATTGTTCAGGGGTAAATGTGGCATTCTCTTCTTTGAATGTAACACTGTAATGAGGCTTGCCGTCCTTGTTTACTACTTTGCAGTTTGCCTGTTTCTTATCTGCATCTGAGAGATCTGCGTATTTCCGGCCGATGAGACGTTTCATGCCAGTGGCTGTGTTCTCTGAATTTCGCACAAGCTGCTGCTTTGCAGGTCCACCAACAACACTCTCGAGTTCATTGAAAGACACACATGCCGGAGTAACGAAGTCTCCCAAATCGTTCGCAACAACCTCGACTGTGCCATCCTTTCGGGCCACGGCTACGCACACATTTGTGGCACCAAAATCGATTCCTACAACACAAGGCATACTTAATAATAAAAAAGCTATTACTTCGACAATAATAGTTAGGATTATATGCAAATATACTATTTCCTCTCAAGCTTGCGTCTATCAACCGCACTCACGTGTTTAGAAATATATATATGTTGTTATTTATTTTTACTATCGTCTCTTGTGCAGCAGTGCAGTATGGCTCTTGTGATCTTTTTGTTGCCACTTCGCGAACCTGAAGTTGGTACCCAAACTGACACACGTGCGGTATCTATTTCATTTTAGAAAGCACACAAAATTTCAAAAACCCGAGTTTACATATTTAGCCAATGAAATCATTGTGGAGGTGGTGTTATTTTATTTGTTGTATTTCGAACTAGACCGATAACAAACTCTCTGTGAATATATACAGTCACTTTTAAATTTGAAACATATGTTATAAAAAACATTTTTAATTCAAATCAAATTCTGCCAGAAGCCGAGAAACCAATGAAAATCATTTTGTTTTTTTCTGCGTTCGACCAGTATTTATATATTCATACAGAGAGTAAATATTGAAATAAATACGCCCTAAGGCCTAAATATAGGCCCCACTTCCCCAGGGCCTAGGCTACACTTTTCTCTTCTTCTTTTTTACAAAAATATAACATGTCTCTGGTCTCTGTCCATGTCGCTGTGGCTCTGTCTATAAGGCCAATATGTGCTCTCTACACCGTCTGCAGTCACTTGCTATTTGTTGGTCGTGACTCATGAATCATGATGCGTGATGTGTCTAATCACTCTAAATAAGTTCTAACCGCAAGGTATCCTGTGACCTGTCACTGTCAGTGTTTCAGTGATATGGGGCTCTCTAGAGTCAACCATTGGCTAGAGTATGGTAAATACTAGGGCACCAATAAACGTTACGTGTCCAGCTGTGAGCCTGTGACAGTAGGACTGTTCCAGTCACTTTTCACTCTGCACCTTCAGTTGAAGTTTAGTTGAGCTACTATTATTTATGTATCATGCTGCAAATCAATCTTATATCCAAAGAACCTAACTCCACCCAGAAAGTGCCTATAGAACTAGATTCCTAGACTAAAAGCGACCTTTAAACTAAACGTCAACTCAAAGAGAACGGCTTGACAACAGCATTTTGCTCTTTTACGACTGTGCAAAAAAAATTGGTTGGGACGAGCCCGAACTATACAAATTAACAAAGCTTCAAAGGATATGGCAACTCATAAATACATCACACAAATCATCCATCGAATGACTGATCATTAAAAAGAAGGTGTCCTAGTATTTGTCTCGTTCGTACAAATTGCCAACGTATGTATACATTAAAATGAATATATATGCATATGTATGTATACATTAAAATGAATATATATGCATATATGTATATACGTAAAATGTATGTATGTATATGTTTTTTGTATATATCTTTATCTCTTTCTCTATATCTATAT